GGGCAGCAGGAGCAGCATCTCTAACGCTACCCGCATGCAAGTATTTTTGCATTTGCACAGCTGAAACCTTTCCTTCACTTTGCTCTGAATAGTTGTTCCGTCTTGCCTCAGCCACTTTTCTTCTTCTTCTTCTTCTCTCCTTTATATTCACGTCTCACACTCGCACATCGCCGATTCACAGCACATTGTCTCCTATAATTATAACTGAATTATCATCACAATCAAAGGCTCCATTATCACTGTTGTGACTTTGGCCTCTTAATTCTCCCCCTCGCTGCCTCCCCCTCCTCTCGCAGCTATTATCAGGTGGAGGTGGAAGGAGAGGGAGCCAGAGTTGGAGAGATCTCCCCCCTCCGCCGTGTCCTTGCCTGACAGATTGCAGCGGTAATGAATGTATGTGATTCCTCGGCACTCGGCACTCCTGGCATTTTAATTGAATTTTTTATTTCTGCACTTCAGGAGGACTGAAGGGGGGGAGGCGGGATGACTCAGTGTGTGTGTCGGCGAGCGGGTGTGTGCGTTAAATACAGTGGATGTGAAACCTATAGAGCGGCGGCGACGGCTACGCACATGAAGCCGCGGCGGCTAATTGAATGCTACCGTGAACAGCTTCTCCAATCACGGGCAGCTCCTTTAGCTTCTCCTCTCCGTTTACATCCAGAGTTTCATTCGGCCTCTGGACGCTTTAAAAGCCTCTGTTTAAACTAATGACAGAAGCTGAGCATCGACGAATGAGCCGCAGGGTTACATTTACGCAAATAGCATTCGTCTGTTTTCCTTCAAAAATAATTTACTGACAAGCTGCTGTTTTCTGTCGTCGGGTTAACTGGTCGTCACAACACCTGACCGTAAAGTAATTTCATGTCACAGTCAAGAAGTAAAGAAACGGTCGAGAAGGAGCAGAGTTTATAAATTAGCAGCTCAGTGCAACACGAAACGCTAACAGTGATGCTAACATCGAGTGTTGTTTGTGTTTTAATGAGTCTGATTCTGTTGAACTGGTGGTTTGGAGTTACTGCAACAACAGGTTCTGTTTTTACATTGATGCATGAGTAAACAACAACACCTATTTACATTTTCTGACGCTACTAACATTATCTACAGTACTCCGTTAGCATGCTAGCATTGTCTCTGACACTCTATTGGCATGCCAACATTTGCTAACATCCTCTCTGATACTCTGCTGGCATGCTAACATTTTCTCTGACACTCTATTGGCATGCTAACATTTGTTCATATCCTCTCCGATACTCTGCTGGCATGCTTACATTCGCTAACATTTTCTCTGGTACGCTGTCAGCATGCTAACACTTTCCTTGACACTCTATTAGTAGCCTATGTTAGCATTTGCTAATATTTTCCGCGACACTGTTAGTATGGTAACGTTCTTTGACGTTGTCTGTGACATACTCTTGGCATACCAACATTCGCCTTCTTTGAAGCTTTCAACATTTTTGCTAACACTTTCTCTGTGACCCTGTTAATATGCTAACATTTGCTAATATTTTCTCTGACACTTACTGTATTTGCTAATGCTCTGTTAGCATGCTAGCACCTTCTCTGTGACTCTGTTTATATGCTAACATTTGATAATATTTTGTCTGACACATTTTTGATCATACTCTTAGCATGCTAGCATTTTTCTAACAGTCTGTTAACATGCTAATATTCACTAACATTTTTTCTGTCACTTTGTTGGCATGCTAACATTTGTTCGCATGCTAGCATTTGTGGACGTTTTCTCTGAATCTCTGTTAGCATGCTACCATTTTTTTTAAACTCTCACAACATTTGCTAATATTTCTCTGGGACTCTGCTAACATTTCTTGACTGTTTCTCTGACACTCTATTAGCATGCTAACATTTTCTTTTAAACTGTCAGAATTGTAATGTTTGCGAACATTTTGTCTTTTCCTCTGTAAGCGATTGGCTGTCGGTGAACCAGAACAGCAGCTGAACAGCTCACCAATGAGCTTCTTCTCACTAACCTGCCTCAAGCAAAGCAAACCTGCAGATTCTGATTATTCTTTGTAGCTTCATTGCTTCATAACTCAGATTTTATATTGCAACTCGGAGAAGACAGTTAATTAAATGAGTGAGTAAAACAAATAGTCCAGTGTCGGTAGCTGTGTTGACCTGTGGAAAGAGGAAACCTCCGTCTGTCCAGGTTTACGTCTCGCCATCGCTCATTCTGCTCCTCAGTTATTAGTATGAAAGGAAACAGGCAGTAAACATGCAGCAGCTCCGTCTCTAACTGGATTTCTGGATCGCCTATAAAAAAAAATAACCCCATGCATCTCCGCTGCAGTTACATCTTCCCAGGGCATGCCGGTGTGCATGTTCAACCTCACATGTGTTTGCAGTTGTGCATGTAGTGAGCAATAAAGAGCTGCGAGCCAAATAAAACATACAGATGAGCACAGATGCTGCAGAGGCTTCATAGCTGAGCACGGTGGGCTTTATTTACTGAGGCATGTGTTTGCAGAGACGGGAAGACGCAGACATAAAGCAACATGCAAACAGACGAGACGCCCTCCCCGCCTGCAGCACTCTGACAGCAAGTGTAGGAAAACACTTCTCCTCCTCGTCTGAACAACCTGTGAATCCGGGAGCTCGACAAGCCCGATCACGAACCTGCAGCATGCGTTTCCACAGCTTCCCCTGCAGAACGGTGAGCCGCCGAGCCGCCAGTCTCCCAGCGTTAATAAACAAAGACGTGAAAAATGAAAGGTGGGATTTGGCCTGCTGGTCCGAGCCTCACCTCTGGAGCAGCTGCCGTCTTATTGCTTTATTAACTTTTATGTTTTTCATAAACACTTGCATAAACAGCGTGAGCGAAGCTGCAATTAGACCTTCAGCTCATTAAAACGTATGAAGGCTCGACACCCCGCAGGGCAACACATTACTGTGCACGCTAGCATGCTGAGTTATTCGCAGGATTACTGCATTAGCATGCTAACTATCGCTAATTATCAAAGTAGAGCCCAGGCTCATGGGAACGTTGTCATTTTTGCTTGAACGATTAATTAATCAATGGTCTATCAGTAAAACATTAATCAGCAACTTTGCTGGTAATTGTTTGTCTTTTGTTAATTAACTAAACTTTTGTACTACGGCTCATTAACGTTAGCGCCCTCTAGGGGCCGCGTAAGGCGTCCCTCCCTTTAGCAATCTCCCAAAAAGCACATCTGTTTAACTGACAACTCTCGAGCTACCATGCGGATTTTATGTTTTGAAAATAGTCACCATCTTGGTTTAGCATGCTAGCATGCTAACACATAGCATTTTCTCTGACACTCTGTTTGCATACTGACATCTACTGACTTGTTTTCTGCCAGTTTGCTAGCATGCTGACTTTTTTTTTCTGATGTTAGCATGCTAACATTTTCTCTGACACCACTAAAAATTGCTAACATTTTTTCTGCCTGCCTGTGTGTTTGCATGGTAAGATTAGCTAGCATTGTATCAGATGCTGTTAGCATGCTAACATTCTCTCTGTAATTGCAAATATTTCTCTGACACTATGCTAACATTTGCTAATATTTTCATTGACAGTCTGTTAGCATGCTTATATTTACAAACATTTTTCTACCACTGTGTAAGTATGCTAATGTGTGCTAAGGCTCTCTGTAATAATTTGTCACCTGGTAGCACCTACTAACATTTTCTCAAATGCTGTTAGCATTGCTAGCATTTGCTCACGTCTTCTTTGACACTCTGTTAGCATGGTAACATTTGTTGTCATTGTCTCTGATGTTCTGTTAGCCTGCTAGCCAGGTGCAAAGTAAACAGGTAGCTAATGTAGTTATAGAACCACAAAGTGAGTGCCAAGAGGAGGTTGAGGTGGATGGATGGGTTACCAAAATACTTTTATTTCTTGTTTCAAACCCCAGATGGTCTAAAAATATTAAAACCATCTGTTTATTATCGGAACTATAAAGAAAAATTTGCCATAAAATTAACAAAGTACTTTTTCTAACCCTGATATTTCTGTAACTAAACGTCTAGCACATCACTGTCATGTCACAGAAGAGTTCATTTACTGCTGCCAGTATACCTGTATGGTTCATATTCATCCGCATGCTAACGCTAACAGTCTCCTGTGCAGCCTTGTAGATGGATGAGCTGTCACTGCCGAATGAAACAGTGCCCACGTAGCCACAGAGCACGATGAACAGATCCACGGCAGGCTTTTAAAATGATTCAGGGTGTCGGAGATGCAGTGGAGCGAAGTGAGGAAGGTGGAAAGTTGAAGACGCCCGGAGGAAAACTAAAAAGTGGAGGTGAAGGAACAACCGTCGCCGACTGCAGAGTTCAGGTGTGTGATGGAGGCGTCCTGCCTGCTGGGGGCTCCGAGGATCACAACTGCACCCCGTTGTCGAACATCAAGGTGAACTTTTCCCCGGAATACTAAAGCGAAGTGCATCTTCAAATGAGACCTGCAGGAAAACCTCATGACCTCAGGCTGCTGTGTGTTCACTCGACGGTGGTGTGTGTTTATCTGCAGGAGTGTTTTGTCGACTTCGGTTTATGACGAGTGCGTATTTCTCACGATGTAAGGATCAGCGAACGAAGGCCGATCGCTGTCCGACCTTCTCCTGAACTCTGCTGTGTGTCGACCTCCTGCTCTGAACTGCAGCTTTTTGTTCCGTACGTCTGAAGTAAATGCACCGTGCGTCTGAACACAAAAAAGAAATGCATTAGAGCGCACAACCTTGAAACTCTGCTCAGGTTAAAAAATGTTCCTTTTTATAGACAGTGTTATCATTAGTGGTATAGTCGTAGTTCGTAGATATTATTTAGTTTAGACTTTGACTTACAATCCTTGAGAAAGCTACTTAGCAGCCTTTGCGTGCTAGTGGCAACCATAGGAAAGCTTGTCGCTAGGAATGCTAATGGTAGCTTAGAAATACTTGTAATCTCAAGTGACTAATCCGTGGATGCCATCGGCTAGTATCCAAATTACAAGCGAATGCACATGACTAGCCTTAGAATGCTAGTTGCTAGCCTTTGGATGCTCGCTACTAGCTTTTAGATGTTAGTGGCTATTCTGGGGATGCTAGTCGATAGCTTTTGGATGTTAGACGGTTGCCTTTGATTGCTAGGTATAAGCGTAGGGATGCTAGTTAATATTCTTTGGATACTACTCACTAGTCTTGGGATGCTAATTGTTAGCCTTCGGTTACTGTTGACTAACTAGGGGATGCTAGTTGCTTGTCTGCTAATGCTAGTCTGGGTGATCTGTGACTGATAGTTATTAGCCTTTAAATGCTAGTATAATGCTTAGGGATGGTATTTGCTTGTATTTGGATGCTATTTGCTAGCCTTTGGTTACTAGTGTCTAGCTTTATGCTAGTCGCTAGTGTATGAATTTTCATCATCAAACTAGGAATGCTAGTGTGATTAATCTATGAATGCTAATTGGTAGCCTGCTAGCCTTTAGTTTATTGTGACTATTCTGGGGATGCTAGTCGCCTTTGACTGCCAGCGACAAGCAGAGACATGCTAGTTGCTTGTCTTTTGATGCTAGCTGCTAGCTTTTGGTTACGAGTGACTGACTTAGGGAGGTGCTAACTTAGGAATAGTAAGTTGAGTGAAACATTCGTGTAATGAAAAGCGCCCTGGGAACGCTAGCAACTAGCTAGTTGTTAGCCTCTGGATGCTAGAGTGATAGCAAAAAGCTCAGGCGGCCATTTTCTTTATTCATAAACAGGCTGAATAACTTTATAAAACTGAGGACAACAGTGTGATTGAAATACGGCTCCAGCCTGCTTACATATTACATCTTTGCGTGGGTCATTTTTGAAGATCTTGTGTCGAATAAGCAGGAATCTAGACCCGCAGGCGTACGTTATAAAAACAGGTTTCAATTTCAGCGGTTTTAAACATTTGTTTTAATGAGGCGTCAGGACACGTTTGCCCACACTGCATTGTGTGTGACCAGCCGGTTGGTTATTAAGGCGGGTTGTGAGTGTTTGTGGGGCTGTTTCGGGGCTCCCTGCTGTACAAACACATGCATCTGTTGGTGCACACGGTGACCACCGTGCACGGCTGTACGAGGCTCGCAGAAGACAGAAGCGGGCCTCTGCGGCGCTCTGTGCTCGGCTGTAACCATGGCAACGCGGGTTAAGGTGAATCTCATTGTTGCGGCGGTAATGATTTGAATAGCTCAGAGGGTCATGCCTGCGCTGTATCCATCGGGGAGTTTGGGACGTATTGATGTTTACACGCGGTAATAGATCTCAGATTGTTGTGCTGCAGCAGGGGAGCGCCGGGCTCAAGTGTTAAAGTGGGAATTTTAATGGAAAAGTTTGGCCCCTCCACTGTAAAACCAATCTGCTTTTCAGCGTGTGATGGATCTCTGTTTACAAAATGATGCCAGACGATTCGTAATGTAGGACATTTATTGGAAATAAAGTACTTTTGGTAAACAAATCAGTGTCGGAAAGCCAGCGGGGACGGAGCAGTGATACGGTGAATTAAAATGAGCAACGCTGGTGGACATGTCGAACCGGTTAAGGCCGCAAATGCTCGAGTTTATCAAGTCTGTGATATCATCAAGACGGCAGCTGTTTGGCTTCCGTCTCGCCAGATCTTACAGATTTTAAACTCACCTTGAGGCTAAGTTAAGTTTGGGTTGAGTTACCTTTAGTCCCGCATATCAGGCCCTGTGTCAATGCTGGAGGATGGTCTGATGAACTATAGGGGGAACAAAACCAAGATTCTCAGTCCTGCAGGTCATGGTTGTTCTCGTAGATTAATCATAGCAACTGGACTTGCGTGAGCACCTTGAAGACGTTTCATTCAAGAGGCTTCATCAGTTCTGACCAACTAGCTGGGAGCTCCAGATATCCTAAAGGAGCCATGAAGAGATCTCTAACCAGGAAGATGAAACCACATCCACACCGAGCCACAAAAGACCCGAACGAACCCCACTGTGTCAGGGGGAGCACTAATGACCCACATAACGAGGAGGAGGAGCAACAAACCCCCAACTGAAACCCAAACTCAGGTGTTACTGGCTCCTTAAGGATATCCCAGAAGCTCCCAACTAGTCAGTCAGAGCTGATGAAGCCTCCTGGATGAAACGTCTTCAAGGTGCTCAAGCAAGTCCAGTTGCTACGATTCATCTACGAGAACATTAATTCAACCAATCACAGATGTCTCAGGAGGAGCTAAGTTAGAATGCAGCAGCGGTGTCCCTGCAAAATCAGGCGAAGGGTTTCATGTTAGTGGAACATTTGTACGCAGGGAGGCGAAAACCGTCATTAAAAATCCAAAATTCAAGCAGGGACAATCCAAATTAAAACCAAAACATTTGTAGCGTGTGCGTCGTTGGTCGTTGTCGAGAAGGAGGTTTTGAAAACGGTGAGACACAGACAGCCGAAGTGATCATTTTACGATCATTTTTTATTCAACGTGAACATCAAAGTGACATAAAATATGAAGAGAATGCGTCCAAACTAGTCTCAGAAGAGAAGCTGTGCAGCGAGTAAACACTGACGTTTGAGCCTTTTGACAATGTGGGTAAACCAGAGAGACCAGAAAAAAGAAGAACTCATGTGATTTCACACTTGGAGACAGCAGAAACTCCTCTTTTCTATTAGATACGATTGTTAGTTTAGCTACACGCCGAACCAACAACGTCCACACATGTTGCTCACCAAATATCAAGGACGGAGCGCAGAAGAGGTATGCCGGTCCACGTCATGGTAACTGGCCAGTTAAACTCGGGAGCGTACGAGTCTTATCTATGTTCGGGGCAGGCCCAGCCCAAGAAGATATCTGGAACCTGGAGCCAAAAAACCTCTGGACATGAGATTCCTCTCTGTCCCTCTGAATCCAGCGCTGCAAAACTTTACCTGTGACCTAAAATAAATTCTACATCTGAGAACTGAAGATTTCTCCGGCTTGTTCTTGGGCTTCCAACTAAAGAATCGGGTCTAACAGTACGTTCGTTTTTTTCTAGACGGAGGGGGGAGGATATCCGGTTTGACAAAAACCCTGCTCGGTTGTGGACGAGGCCTAAAACAAATCTTCCTTTATGATTGTCGAGGCACATGGAGGAGGAACATTCACAGACTCTACTGCGGGTGGAGATAAATTAAAGAAAAACCCAGCTTGCGGTAAATCGCTCATCCTAGAGAGAAAGTACAGTCAATGGCAGATATGAATAATAGTAATAATCACAACAACAACAAGCGGCAGAATGAAGCGGCGTGAGAGGAAAGCAGCGGGCGTGTGCAGGTTGCAGCAGGCGGACTGATGCAACACTTGAACGCTGCTGACTTCACTTTGCTGCAGTTCTTCTTTTTCTCATTATATTTGTCTTTTCTTTCCTCTAAGCATCTCTTTATAGTCTCTTTCATGCTCGGTGAAAAGGAGCAAACAAGCTCGGCTGCCTTTCCCCCGAATACGTCAGGTGCAAACAAACAAACAACAAACAAACAAACAAGCTGCTGCTGCTGCTGCTGCTGCTGCTGCTGCTGAGCCCCTCGAGCTAACAACGTCATTTTGTTTGCTCTGAGCGCAAATAACGACGGAGGGCAATCAGAGGAAGACCTGGGCGAGGCGGGGGGAGCACAGGAGTGGGGAAGGGAGGCGGTGTGAATGGATGATGGACGCATCATTTCTCAGGCCCTCATCTTTTATTTAACCCGAGCTGCTGCTGAGAAGAAGAGAAGGAAAGAGGAGAGGAAGGGATGAAGGCAGCGGAGGAAGCAGGGATGGAGGGATGAGAGTCACACTGTACAGCCGTCACCGCAGCCTTTTGATCACATCCCGTTTTATTTTCACTCTTTCCTGCCGTTCGTTTGTGACGTTTTCCCTCCTGCAGGAATCGGGCGCTTGATTCTCACAGATAATTACTTCACAATACGTTTGAGGAAACGATGCGCGAGAGGTGAGGAAACATCTGGGCTGCAGATGCAGAAGGAGGCAGCGTCTGCACAGCGCGGCCATGTTTAATTGATGGCTGCTATATGCAAAGTGCTCGTGGAACATGTTACTGAGCAGAAGAGCAGCTCTCTGGATGTGTGGCCTCCACTCACTGCAGGGCTTCATGGAGAACTTAATACAAAAGGGTTTTGTTTGTTTTTTTGCAGATTTATGTTATGATTTAATTTAATTTACATTTTTTAAATAATTTAATTTATATTGCTATTAAAAACAATAACAGGATTTTTTATTTTCACTTTTGTCTTATATAGTTTATTTTTTGTTTTTACAATATTTTCACTTGAATTTTTAAAAATGTAGTTTGTTTGTTAATTTATTTTATTTGTCGATATTTTTAAACTTTTATTTAAGCCTATTTTACAAATCTCCCATTTTTACTTTATTTTTAAATTATTTATCTCCGTTTTTATTTGATTGTGTATTTATTTTATGCATTTACATTTTTCTTTGTTGGTTTTTTTTTATTGTCTCTCTAGTTATTTATTTTTAATTCCAATATATTTTTCTCTTATAATTTTCCTCTTGGTGTTTAGTTGCTTATTTATTTTTTTATTTTTTCATTTTTTTATTTTTTTATTTTTGCTTATTTGTATTTTTTTTGATTTTTTTGTTTAATTATGTTATATTTTTCTTTTATTTTCAAGTTCAATTTTCTTTTCTTTCTTTAAAAAAAATTGATATAACACACATAAAACAAATAAGTAATACATATATATATAAATCTTTTTATCTTTTTTTTGTTGTCGTTGTTTTTAAACTTTAGACAGGAAGCTACTGAAGTTTTGAAAGCGGCCTGTTGTTTTTCACCTGCATACGGTTCATTTCCACATTGGTCTCAGCCCAGAAAAGCCGGTGATTTATTCTTTCTATGTTTGCATTACTTGTTTGTCGTCTGTCCAACGCGGTGTAATGAAACAGGCTGAGTAAAACATTCAGATGCGGCTCCTATTTCATGCTCCGACAGCCGGAAGCATTCGTCTACGCCGAAAAACCAACATTTAAAAATGGACTTGGCACGGTTCGGCTCAACCGAAGGACGGGCGGTTTTGTGCTCAGTTGGGCTTCAGATTAGCGACACTGGCTTCCTCATCGCCAGAACACGGAGCTGGTTTCCTAAAATAGACACCTCACAATAAACGCTCTGCTCATTTACTTCCAAAGAGCCAGACAGTGTAATGAGGCAGGGTAAGCCGGCATTATTGAACTTCTTTGAACGGGGCCGGACTGCTTAACTGCAGAGAGAGAGTTCAACACTGTGCAAGGAAAAAAAATAAAATCCTACAAATGGGCAGGCAGACATTCCCGAGGGTGCCCGAGAAAGCTTGGTTTACTCTCCTAATGATCTTTTTGTTTAGTTGTGTTTGGAGTCTTTCAGCGCGCTCTGCTGCCGTGGAAAGACTGTAGAGCAGCAGAACCGCAGGATTTGATTCAAGCACGTGCTGAAAGCTGCACGCTGTGATTCAGAGTGCATGAAAACCAGTGAGCAGTGGTGAAAACCGTTAAATGTGCGAATAAACGGGCGAAATGGTGAATAA